CCCCAAAACCCCAAAACCCCAAAACCCCAAAACCCCAAAACCCCAGTATGAGGGTGATGTATAGATTTAGGATTATATTAATAGATATGGTTTGCTCAAGCCAATACTTTCCAATAAGAATTTTATCTCTCTTGCTTTTACGTTACAGACTTTGAGATTTAGCTCTTTTAGGGTTTGTTTTAAGGATTCTGAGGTGGCAAGTCCTTTGACTAAGTTCCTGAGCTCATGTGGGTTTTCCTTCCAATTACTTCTATTGACTTGTCCTGATTTCTGAAACGATAATTTTTGAATATTGGTACCATTTAGCGCAATTGAGAAATTAGGGACTTTAGGTATTGTGAGTTTACACGAAGCAAAGGTCATTGATTTTACATGTTTGAATTCAGAGATTATTCTTTTTAGTTGCTTATAATTGATGTGAAACTTGCCAAAGCCAATTTCGTTTTGAATTTTTGAGCTGACCTTAATTAATTGAGGAAAGTAATTTGTTATCCGAATCAATTCATAGCTTGCGTGAAAAAATGAACTTTGCACTTTTCTTGGGTAGCAATTTTTCAAAAAAAATTGAAGCTTCTTGTTTCTCTTTGTGACCTGATTTGTTATAACTTTATCCAGATTTGTAATAGTTATTGGGTTGATTTTTGCCAAAAATTTGACCGTAAAAGGATGAACAATGTATAAAGAACAAAAATCATAATGACTCGTAATTTCACTCAGAAAATGCATGCTAAAATGTGTCGCTCTCCAGATCTTCTTATCAAGGTTCTGGTCTTTTCCATACACTTCCAGCTCTATTATCCAAGGTTAAACTCCATACCAAAATCGACTCCTCTCTTTCCTCTCCAATCCTCGTTCATCAACCAAACATACAGCTTGGTCCCTAAAATCCAAGACCAAAGATCAAATACCTAGTTCCCAGCGATACACAAAGAGGTAAGTAATTCCCAACCTGAATTTGAAAACAGAGGATTTGCGAAGAAAATAAGGAATTTTAGAGCAGGAGAGAGAAGAGGTTGGAATTAATTTTAGGAAGGAATGCAGAGAGGTTAAGGGAATGGGATAGAGAATGATAATGAGAATGGGATGTAGGGTTAGGTACCTCCTTCTTTAAAGTACATTTCGCGGGCCATTTTCTAAAAATCCACAAAAATTTTAAATATTTTACTGAATCTAAACAAGGGGTTTTGGGGTTTTGGGGTTTTGGGG